CCCCCCCCCCCCCCCCCCCCCCCTCCCCCAACATACAACCTTCTTGTTAAAGCATGAGTTTGCAAACACAGACTTTGGTTTGCAAACACTTGTCTATGCAGTCATGTGGATGAACATCACGTCTGCTCATATCTCAAACTAGCTATTTTGTATCAAGGTCTCAATCGTCTGCTTCCCGTGTCTCCTGTGTCTCATCATGGATGTGTGTCTGGCAGAGGCTACGTCCCACTACGTCCACTACCTGGACACACTACAATATGCTGAGGTTTCAAATGGCAACTTCACCGTGGAAGCTTTGCCCTTAATCAAGCCTCCACGCCAAAGCAAGAAAAGCTTCAAAGAGTTCTTTCACATAGTGCCCAACATTTCCACAGAAGATCAGGAGGTGATTCGCGCTGTCATGTCAGAAGATCCCTTGTGTATCTCACGCTTGCCAAACTCTGTGCGTCCCCGCGATGCACTTGGAACTTCCTGTCACTTGCAGCTCGTTCTCCACCAACATCCTGATGGTTCCTGCACAGCCTTGAAGTTTTTCCATTCCAAGGTGAGCATTCCTATGGGCCTGGCGAGAACACTATGTGAGGATCAAGTCTTGGTGATTGACTACTCCTTGGCCAAAAACTCTGATGCAGTGAAGAAGGCATTTCTCTATATGCTCTCACAGATCAGTGGCCACCACTGGATGACTCAGGTCTTGCGACAAAAACAAATTCCCAAAGAGCAGCGCCTTCCAGGCGATTCAGAGAAAGCATGGAATCCAACAGAAGAGGAACTTCGCAGTGGCATCAACTATATCAATGACTATGCGCCCTTGGCCAACTCAAAGAATGAGCAATACCTGTGGGTACTTCTTCAGATTCGTGATGCTACATCTCCGCTGCATGGCTGGCCTCAACACGTGGTGCTCAAAGCCTGCGCAAATCGAGTGACCGGCAACTCTCAAGCTGAGCCAGAGTACTTCTTTCCTTTGTTGCTCTTGGATTTGAACCCAACCTTTCTCAACAAGATTGTGCCCATGATCTTGCCTTTGATGCCGTCCTTTGGCTTGATGGTGCTCGGGAAAGCAGGAGTTGGGAAGACACCTACAGCTCAGATCATGGCGATGGCCGTTGCTCGTCACCTCACATCTTCTCGCAGTTTGTCTGGTTTACCTGGATGGCGGCGCTCCAAGCAAATTGACGGCTTTAGAGAGCGCCCGGGCGAAGTCAACGTCCCAGCTCTCTTGGACGATCCCAACTTGAGCAGCATCAACCTGGAGGACCTCAAATCGTTCTTGGATGTGGGTGAAAACTGCCTGGTGGATGCGCGGTACAGAGCCGCTAAGTTCTCACGGAACCAATGCCGCATTGTCCTCAACAATGAATGGGATGAATCAAAGGAGCCGGACACCTTCTTGTCACACATCACGTGGGAGCAATTCAAGGAAATGTTCCTCACAGCTTGTCAATATCCCAAGTTCCCACACCTGATGGCCATCTTGAAGAGGACCATGGTAATCATTGCTGGGCACAATGGTGTTTACATTCGTCTTCCAAGTGAACACACATCCGAACCAATTCATTGCTTCAATGAGGGCGGTGTGACAGAAGATTGGCTTCAGGAAACTCATAAGAAGTTCTACGGTATGTACAAGCAAGGTGTGCATGAAAAGTATTGTGGTTACGACTCCGCAGTTGAGGAAGAGCAAGCATTGGTTGCAAAACTCTTGGCAACCCCTGAAGAGAAGGACTACATCCACCGTGCTGAAACACATGATCGTTGGCGTCTAGAGGCTGCTCCAGCATCTCCACCGGCTTCTACTGCTGCACTTAGGACGGCTGACGCTTCTCCAATTCATCTCAAGGAAGAAATCACATCACCTGTCACCAAGAAGCCTCGCGCGTGCTTCGGGCTCATTGATGTGGACGCAGAGGCAGAGGAGCTTGAGCTTGGCGAGTTTGATGATGTCTTTGGCCATGGTGATATGGAGTAGTGATCAGCTCTTAGAGACATACCTTACTGAGAGAGTAGCGTCCTTTGTGTAGCAGTCTCAACCATTTTGACCTGGTGGCTGGTGTCATATAAAAAAACTCTCATTCTCAGTGTGCATGTGCTTACTGTTTGCCTTTGCTCAACACAGCTTGTCATCGTCATAGCTTCTCCACTGCAACTGTGTCTTCAGTACTTTCTAAATAAATTCATCTTGTGATGTGGTATTTCTGTATCAAATATCAGGTGTCAGTGAAGCTTGTGAGTGTAGTTCTTCATGTGGCCCATCATGGCGACCTACAAGAACATGGCGGACTTTCAGAAGAAGTTTTCCTTGAGCTGCATTCGGTCAAGAACTGATTTTCTGCATAGTATCAAGTGGGCTTCTCTCCAGTCGACTGATCCCTACCCGGACCACCCGTCCTTGAAAGGCATCTTATTTGCTATGCATTCAAACCTTTTGCCTGAAGAGTACACGTGCAAAACGTGTGGTGGCTCCTTTCATTTACGCTGTCGGCTACGTGCAGACCGACAGTCCTGGGATTGGACCTCCCACAGTCGAGCTTGTGATGATTGCGCCCGCACCTCACAGTCTTTGACATCAGGAACTGTTCTTCAAGGCATCAAGGCGAAGAATTTCTTGAATTTCTTTGATTGCCTGTGCATGTGGAGCTTTGACTACCCATCTTGGATCATTACCAGAGAAGCAGGTGTCTGGCACCAGCAGCTCAACCAATGGGAAGAAGTCTTTCATCAAGCAGTGAATGCAGACCTTTGGCACTATGCAACTTCTTTCAGTCTCACTTCGACACCCCTGAAGTCAGCGAATCATGTTCGGAAAATTAAGAAAACTGTCATGAAGAAGCACTCTGCCACCATCAAAAGACCTTCAGCCAGCTCCAGTACTGTCATGAAGAAGCCCTCTGGTGCCTGCAAACGACCTGCTGGAAATAAAAGGTTTAAGCCGCACTCACAGAAGAAGACTCCAGATGCTATGTCTTTCTACAAGAAGTACAAGTATGTGGTTGAAGTTGATGAGTCTCATTTGAACAAGTTGCGAAGCGGTGCTCTGACAAAAAGTTGCCGCGCAGAAACTGATCAGGTTTGGGTGTGGGGTGCTACCGTTCCCGGCAGGCCAGAACGTTTCATATTTCGTGTCTTGGATCACCCACAAGATGCTATGGATGGCAAGCCTCGAGGTCAGGCTGAGATTCTTGATTGCCTTCGCCTTCTCAACCTGCAACCCAAGACCATCATTGTGACCGATGGATGGAAGGCAACGATAGCGGCTATCAAAGATCTAAGAAAAGAAAAGGGGTGGACTAATGCAGATTTGTGGCATGAAATCGTGAACCATAGCGCAGGAGAAATCACCAATTCCAATGGATTCACTACGAATCACATTGAAAACCGTTGGTCACTTGTAAAAAGATGGATTCGCAAGCGTGAAGGTGGCCGCTTGCCTTCACACAGCAACCGCCAAAGGTGGAAATGCCTTTTAAATGAATATCGGTGGCGAAAAATGCACACCAAAGGTAGCAAACATGTCTACGTAGTGCCCTTGACCACCACAATGGAAGCCATGCAGCGCGTGCACCAGCTCTAGCCTAATGCTCACAAAAGCTTTGGAAAAAAGAAAACCTTTTCCTTTACATCTGGACGGTTTGTGTTTGCTTGCTGTTCACTTGCTTCTGTCTTGCCGGCAAGTCACACGCATATGTTTGTGAGACACACACACATATATATATATATGGCTATATATGGATAACCATTTTATGGTTTACTAAAATCCTTTTTGGAGATTTCTTGTTGTCGACACTGAGCTTGTTGCACGTGCAACTTGTGCGCATATATTCTGTAGGCATTTCCCCTCAGCATAGTCATTGCTTCGTACTCAGACTCTTTAATACTGATAGATCATGCCGAAGTCTCCGCGCATGCAGCTCTCTGTGGAAGCCTACATGAACGAACGACAGCACATTACTTTGGAGCTCATGGGCAATGTGTCTCAAAGCGCTTCTTCAGAGCCTACTTCTTTTCCTGATGCAGCTGACATCGTGGAAAACATTCACAATGGAACCATTGCTGTGCATAGTGACAGGGCGGCAGTCACCAAAAAGCAAATTCAGATCCAAATCAACACCATCAGACGCAACGCAGTCAACCAGGGAACCCTGGCACAAGGTTCTGCTTGGTCGAGTCAATGCCAGACGGCGTTGATGTCTTGGTTACAAACCAAGAAAGATGGTCGTGCTCGCTCGGCATCAACTTCCCAAGGCAGTGTTCCAATGCTTGCTCTTCCTGCACCTGTTCCTCCTGCAGCAGATATGTCCATTGATGAGCACCAGGGCAATGGAGGTAATGGTTCTGATTCTACTTCTTCGGATTCATCATCGTCTTCTACATCAGATGAACAGGAGGCAACGCCAATGTCAACATCTGCACCCAAGGTTCCTTTGACCCAAGACGAACGCGTACTTCTTGAAGAATTGCTTGAAGCAGTCCATGTGCATCAAGACATTGAAGAAGAAAACGATCGTCTCCGGCATGAAAATGAACTTCTCAAGCAGGAACTTGCCCAACTGAAGCGCGCGCACTTCTTGTAGTTAGGAACTACTGTCTGACTGTCTGAGAAAATTAGTCAAAGCGCGCGCGGCCGAAACCATCACGGAACCATATATAGTTATATGTATATAACAATATGATATGATATGTTTTTAACGTCCAAATGCATGACATGGAAAACGACCAACTCTGAGATCACATCTGCCTTCACCGTTTAAGAGCCTTCAAATTCGAGCTTCGCGTTGTAGGCAGGTCCGTTCCGGATCCTCTCCCACTCACGGGTACCCTCGTCGGGTCTCCAAGTGTGGTAATCACCGAAGCTCAGAAATGGATCATGGAAAAGGTTGGTCCTGGCCACGCACCACCACAAGAAGAAGCCACTGAAACCCCGATTTGTTACATCACTGCTTGAAACATCATGGTTGGCCAAAACTAATGTGGCCAGGAGCCGCAAAAGCAAGAGCTGCTTCAGACGTTGGATGCTTTTGCTATTGGCTCTGTCACTCTACTGGTGCGGAGTTGCCAAGCTTATATTTGCCCCGTACCAGTAATTGTGGATCTATCCATCACCAACGCTGTCAAAACCACGGCAGTCCTGATGTCCGCCTTCTGCCCACTCCCTTGCAAGTCGAAGCGTGCAGCAAGCTTCCCCTCCAGACCGCGCTTCCTTAGCAGATCGCAACATTGTATGGAATAAGTGGGCAATTAGAAAGATTCATTGGGACTTGTCTAAGTGTGTCACCCTGTTCTGTGTCCGTCTGTGTCCAAAGATGTTCAAAGTATGCTCCAATATCCTACCACTATAAGTCTGAACAACACCAACAATACATCCAAACTTCCTGAAAGCATTGAGCCGATTTCTCTGGGTCCCAAAGCACTTCAGGCTTTTAGTCAGGCGGCGCGTACTGGAAGAAGGTGCCATTCTGTGGTACCACGCAGCTTTGCCAGCATTGCATGACGCGATGCTTGGGCTGGGAGGCGCTCACTGCCCTGCACCGAAGACTTGGAGTCGACTCGACTCGACCAAACAGCTCTCTTTACTTGACTCTTCTGAGAGGAGAGCGAATCTTACAGCTCTCTGCGCCCAAATTGCCACCTTAGACCACCCCTGACTCTCACCCAGCCTCCAACCTACTAGCAATGGCCACCTAATGGCAATGGCCTCCAACCTAATAACAATGACGTCCAACCTAAAAGCAATGATTTATACAAATTTGAGTTGGGGGAACCCCCAGTCCGCCTGGCACGGTCCCTCCGCTGCTCCCGCATCTGCTGCTGCTGGCGCCACTTCACCGTACAGGCCTGCGAGAAGCCAGGCCTGGCACGGTCAGCGTCTGCGGAAATTCATTAAGAAGCCCCGTGCGTCTTGGAAAGCACTGAAATTCACAAGCGATGATGGAAATACAGCAAAATTGTTATATATTGTTATTATGTATATTTTAGTTGATGCCCACACACATGTTGGTACTTTTGGTGTCTTCACTTCTCATAGATTCCGAAAGCATCCATGCTAAACGATTGTAGACTACATGCTAAGGAAACTGGTTCCACTTGCTCTGTATTCGCTCATAGTCATACAGATCAAGAAGTCACGGAAATGACAGGAAACACATGACCTGGCAAAAGCAAAGAAGCATCTAGAGTCCAAACAGAAAAATCATCCTTCCGAGCACTTCACTTAAGCAGGATTGGTTCCACAATCAGCCTTCTTTGCATGCTACCACAGGATGAAGACGTTTTTTTCCATAACACACACAAAGAAATCCTGTACCCCAACGGAGTTCAAAATGAAATGGAGCACAAATGGAACGCAAACCAACCCTATTGAGCCATGTCTTATACTACAACTTTCATTAATGATAAATGTGATAAATGTATAGTGGGTTTCAATGGGTCACAACAACTTATAGGGTTCATTAGTAGTGGTTCCAGCCGGCAGTATGCATTCTGGTAAACTCACAGTAGCCAGCAGCTAATGCTTCAACACCTATTTGAGGAAATCTGGAAACTTGTGGTTAAAGTTAATATCAATTCTCAAGGCTTGTAGATATCAACAAATTCTGTGGTCAGGTCGCGGGAATGGGACACTTGATCATTGTCGGGGGCTACTTAACCACATAGTTTGGTGGACGTGCGGGTCCATGCCCTTCTACGATGAATGAACCCTTTTGCATCGGAGAGTGGGAAACCCTTCACTTGTTTCATCTTGTTCCCCTACCCTCTGGCCCGAGGAGTCTTCCCCACCTTCTGCCTTGCACCCGCACCAGCACCTGTGTGAAAGAGGGATCGGAATCCGACATCATCCGGCCAGGTACGGGAGAGTGCATTGGGGATCACTGGGGTACGATGCCCCAAACAGGAGTCCTCTCCCAAGACCACAGGGGGGAAAATAAGGGAGATGAAACTATCAACCTTCCCAGTATACCTTTCCCACATTGAGTATGTGAAGCTTCTTGGAGGCATGAAGCTTCTCCATGTCTGCAAGTGAAGATCTGGATCAATTCACCGGTGGCACTTCCACTCCCTTCGGAGTTCGGCTCGTGGTTCGAAAGAAACACCCGCCGAAACACCAGCGGACTGACCCTGTTGGACATCTCCCCACGTGGGGAGTCACCCCGATCGGTCGGAGTCCCTCTCCAGATCGGTCTGAGAGCAGCTGTCGACCGTGAGACCGGTCTCAGCTGCCGATGTCTTGGGCCCAAAAAAGGCCTTAGCAAACTGCTATCAACCAACCCCGAAGTCTTGAGGACCACTTGGATCTTTTTCGAATCCCCAATAGTAGAGCTCCATCAAGCTCTACATTGCATTCAGCTCCCCACAATTCAGAGACGAGACGATCTTCCGACCAATTTTCACCACGTGCCTCAGCATTCTCGTGCGCATGATAGGACCGCAGCGTATGCCTCGACGCCGTCGGACATCGAGACAGACCGGGTAGCGCGGCGCGAACGGCTCAGTCCGGGTACGCGGCGGAGACATCGGGCGAACGGTTCGGAGGATCTGCGCGAGGTCCAAAGTGGCATGAAGACTCCACTTTGGGGGGGGGGGGAGTTAGATGGCACTGAAAGAAAACGGAGTGAAGGGAGGGGCCGGAGACTCACCTGGTGAATCTAGACTCGCTCACACGTGAGAGTTCCAGTTCTCAGAGATGCAATTCCCCGAACCTGCCTGTCGTTGCCCATCTTGCAGCGTTGGCAAAAGAGGACTTGATCTTGAGTCGGAATGCCAGAAATCTCCTACAGCACTTGCCAAGCAGCTTAAGCAGCCAGGATCACTTGCCAAGCAGCTTAAGCAGCCAGGACGTTATCATCAATGCTTGGAAAGATGAAGCACCGACTTCAGGCACCAAAGAGTATAAATGTATAAGTCAAGCTTTTTCATGCTCTCCAGTCAATCAATTGGACCAATTCTTCATAAGTACAGATATACTAAGTGGTCCCCAAATAGATAGGATTGCACGGTTTCAAACATGTTCCACGTGGGGATATACGTTTCTATCTATTTTGGAGTCCAAACTACTAAGCAAACTACTAAGCAATACTAAGCCGTATATACGGTACTGATATTCAGCCAGACTCGCTTCCGTCCCTCCTCGATGATGCCCTTCAAGGACTGGACTCCGACCTGCTCGCGGCTTCCCGGGCCGACGCGGAGGTCGGGGTCCACCTGGATGGTGTACTTGTCACCTGGCGTTTGAGGAGCGTCGCAAAAGGCCATGGGAGAGTCTGGCACAGCGACCTGAGAGAATGAGAGAACGGCTGCCTCCTTTTCTGGGCAGGATCATGCAGGACCTTGGGTCCCTTTTTGGGCAAGAGATCTGGGGAACGGAAGCTGCATCTGGTATTCTGGTCATCGAAGTTCCTCGCTGCGTTGCTTGGAGCAAATCCATCTCAGAATCATACCCTGAAGCACCACAGAACACATGACGAGGGTTGGTTCGTGTCCATCTTCCCCTCGCTTCCTGCGAACAGCACCCCTAGGCCCCGCAGACTGACTGATCAGACCAGTCTGCGGGGCATTGTGATGAGTGCGCCTGTGTCCATGAAGTTCAGTGTCAGAAGCACCTGGCAGGGCAAAGCGCCACGGGATGTTTGGGCTCTGAAACCACGGCGCATATTAGGTTGCTGTTGAGTTATTCTCTTCCAGTGGTCTTCGGGAGGCGTCCCTACTTCAACACACACCACAGTGTTTCAGGAGCTAACACTGGACACCTGCTGAAACCTCCAATCTCAGGCATCCTCTGCAAGGGAAAAGCTACCTGATGACAGTGGCCTCGCATTACTCAATTCTTGCAAACGAAAAGGTCTCGGAAAACTCACCTATGAATGGTTTCCAACAGACTTACCACGTATATCCACGTATGAGCTTCCATCTTTGCCTCCGCAGGTCGTACTGATGACCTCCAACGACCTCCGACCTCCACCGTCGGCCTCGCTCTTCGACATGGGAAGCTTTGGGACCTTCACCCGGGGCGCCGCGTCTGGACGCGCCGTCTTGCTTCGGCCTGGTGAAGCGGCGAGCGGACGGCCACGTGGACGCGAGCGTTCATGGACTGAAGGGAACCCCCTGTGGCGCACGAAGATTGGATGGATTAAGTTGGACTGTTTGGAGATAAAACTTTGGGACCGATCTAGTGTGAGACCTGTTAAGGGTGGTTGATTCTTCTGCAAAAAGAATAATATATGAGCATGGATGTTCTGACCATTTCGTTCCTTCGCAAGGTCGCCTAAACTCGGTCAAAATGAACATAAAGACCTATACGCACCCCAAACAAACCACTAAATGCAAAGACTCAGTTATGCAATGAAGACCCGACCAGACTCATGTCAGCAGGTCTTGACCCACGCTTCCTTCAATGGTCAAGACCTGCTGGGATATCGTTGCCATGACTGACCTCGCTCTCGCCTGGCTTGGAGGGTGCGCTCGCGCAGCGCGCCATCTCCTGGACCGCGCCATGTTTCTCCGAAGAGAGTCGCGGAGAACGGGTCCCCCTCTCAACCGGTCCACCGCAACGTCTCGGCCCGTCTCGGCCCCGAGATGATTCGGCCCATCACCACGCCAGATTCGACCGGACCGACCGGACCAACCACAACCGGACCGTCTGACACTCGATTCACTATATATATATATATAGATCGTCATTTAATATGGCAAAAGTACTCCGCAAAGGCAAATAGGCTCAGATATTGGGGGGGGGTTCAAAAAATGATTCTCAGAGTTTTTTGGATGCTTGCTCAAGGGAGTACATTCAAAGGACTCGAGGATTTGTTGGTGCCCCATTCAGTATATCCCTTAATACCGTTCGGTCGGGGACCGTTGTTCTTGCCACCGGAGCAGTAACAACCGCCTGTTGTGAATGGATGCAAATGGGTTCCCGGTGTCGACCTACTGGATTTATCTGGATTTGGTCCCTGAGCCCTCAGGGCCACCTCCAACCAGACTGTCAATATTCAGTCGTCAGGGACGACCATCCTTGAACAAGGTGAGCTGCAGGTTGAACCACCGTCAGCAGGAGGAGGAGCAGCAGCAGCAGCACCGCAAAATCATGAACACATTCAACAACCACAACCAGCCCTTGCAAGCTTAAAACCTCGTGAGCTGGGATGCCATCATGTATCACAGGGGGTATCTCTTCTGCACCCAATCTTGCCCAAAACCTCCGTGCGCCCAGCCCGGCCGCATCACCCGTCACTTCCGCTTCACGCGCCAAGCCCGTCGCGCCTGCGGAGAGTTTTCACTGGAGACATTCGGCTTTCCTTGGCGACCAGACTGCCACTTCAGTGAGCGATTGGAAAAACAGACCATGTGATTTGGAGCTTGTTTTTGGCGTGAACACGTGGGCATGTTGAGTACCAATGTGCTTCCCAAAGAGTAACTGCCCTTGATAGCCTGCTTGAAAGTCACTTGAGCTTGCTTCAAAGGTTTATCTACACACGGAATCCTCATCAATGAATCCTCTCGAATCACTTTGATGAAGATGGACCTCCAAAGCATCACCTGACCTCACTATGACCTCCAAAGCATCACCTGGTCTCCGCTGGTCGCGGAACTTGCGCCAAATAAAAAGACTTCCTTCTGACATGTAGTCTTGAGGATACTTCAGGTCACTGACTTCCTCCGTTCTCGGCCAGAAGACGGACCTGAAAGTATCCCTTTTGCACAGGGTGCCCTTTTCTGATGGAAGGTCCAGTATTCGATGCCAAGAAGAGTGCCAGTGTTCAACAACTGAACCTGAGACCTCGCGCTTTCCACCATCCGGCTGACGATGTTGTGGCTCACACTGTGAGCGGATGGACCCGACCCATTTTTCTCGGCCAGGAAGCGAAAGTAGTACTTGATGCGCTCCATCTCAGCTGCCTGCGATGAAGCAAATGAGCAGCAAATGAAACACAGTCAGCCTTTCTGTTCCCACCCCCCCAAAAAATAACATGTTTGAGGATATCCTCCCTTGGAGCACAAGTATCAGTGTATATAGTATATACTTACCTTCAAGAAATCTGTTCACTCTTGTTGAGTTGACAGTACCTTTGCCAAGGACTGAAATGTCCTCGCCTCATAGGCGGCCCGCTCTGCTTCAGCGTCTCGGTCTGAGTGCACCTTCAGGGTCAGTCTTTCGAGGATAGGGATCGATGTGAGTCACTGCCCCCGATCAACCAATATCCAATCATAGCTTCCTGGTGGCTGAGGAAGATGGTTGATGTCTTACTCAACTAAGTTTATGGTGATGACAGTGATGACCATAATGACAGAAAAAGTCAATCCAAGCTCCCAAACCGGGTGAACTCGCTAAGGGTGTAAAGGTGAGATATGTCATCATCATGTGCTGATAAATGTTGATATATACCAGAATATACCTCGAGGCAAGAACACACACGCACACACGCACACACACGCACACTGCATGTGGCCTCCTCCTCGCTGCACTGCGTGGCCTCCTCCTTCTCGCGCTTCAGCCGGCCGCGCGAGAGCAACGGCCGGTTCACCTGGTGCTTCGCACCGGGACCGACGGAGGAACGACGCGCCACGCCTTTGGAACGACGACGGGACACGCTTTGAACGTCCGAATGAAGTCAGGCGGATCAAGTTATTCAGGTCATGGTGTACACTGCTGGACACGTTTGAGAAGAAAGGTCAATATAGAACTGAAAGGGTGTCCTACTGAATCCTCAACACACAGCATACATATTATGAATCATGGTTGAATGATGGATCAAAAAAGGTTCAGTATTCAGTGTTCGCCTCACATTTCAAGAGAAATCATCAGTATCAAATCACTTTCCCCTGAAGAAAGCAATTGATATTGAAGCCGACCATGTGTCAATTCCTTCTGTTCTCTCGCCCCGGATCATTCCGTTTTGGCGCCTGACAGGGTGAAGCCACAGGTCTGGAGCGAAGAGGAACTCCCACGGGGCCTGGTGTGACCTGGAGGGATCCGGAACCCATCAGGGTCGACCGTTCTTGTGTCTTATCTAGAGTCCAACTTGAGGCCGAGGGTAGGTGACGAAAGCTAGCAGGGATCCATCCGTGTCAGTGGAGGCGAAGCATACAGCGCCGTCCAGTGACAAAGGACTGGTGGGACATCAAGCAGAGTGAGGCAAATCTGTTTTCATAGGCATGGGGCTGTTGGAGGGATGGTTCACAAGGTCTCGCTCGTGAGGGAAAACGTTGTGAACATGTAAGACACACAAACAGCAATGACACAGCCAACCTTAGCTTGTGAATCTGTTGAATCTGTTGCATCGTATCCCAAAACCTCCACGGAGGAGTTGAACCGAAGTGGATGCCATAAGAGGTGTCCAAGAGGTGTCCCAGGGGGAGTTGAACCCGCGGGGGGCGGGGGGGGGCCCTCTACATATGAAGTTTTCACGTGATGCGGCGATCTCGAGGATTGCAGCCCCTCACTTGCTAAAGCAAGGACAACTCCAGCTAGCTGGTGCTAGCTTTCGTGATGAAGAAAACATGAAGAAACAACCAGCCACACAGCATGTTTGTGGGATTTGATGTTTGTATATGTTTGTCTGGGTGTTTCAGTGGTGTTTTTTGTTTGGGTTCTGGCATGTACTTCTTTCATTTGTCTGCGGTCAAATCATGCACCTGTGGGCCTTAGACCATAACTCACGTGACGAAGGGGCCAGGGGAAAGAAACGAGAACAGCCACAACGAGAACGGCTGGAAGTATGGGGAAGGAGTTGATGGCCAGGCTAAACAACTGTTGAATCCTTTGATATGTTGGGCTAAACAACTCTGACTCTTAAAGGACTAGACTTCGCTCTCAATTCCCTATTATGACTAATGATATAGATAGATGACAGCAACAGCAGGCGGTCGCTACATGAAAACCAGCAACCCTCTTCAACCAATATCTGGTAGTCAATAAAACACACTTCCGGTCCATTGTTGCACACCCCCCCAGAGGTGTGAAAGCGAATGGTCCCATGAAGCAAGAGACGGAACCATTGCTCACCACAAGCTGGAACACACCAGCGTGTGAAGGACAGAAACTAGGTAAAGCATGGGTACGGTGATCCTGATCTTCCCAAAAATGTCATTATGTATACCATACAAAAATGCCAAGTCCGGTCCAAGCAGCTTTAAAGGAAAACGAAAAGCAACCTTCAACAATTGACACCTGCTAGCATCTATCAGTACAGAAGCAAAAATGAGAAGTGGACATGTGAGCCCTTAGGTGAAGAACACGCCACACACTTACCCACGATGCAACAAAAATATGGAGACCCCAAGTCCCAACCTCCTGAACTTGCAGTTTCTCCACCAGCGCCTGAATCCTTGGAGTGTGGGGGTCCGATGTCCCTCAGGGAGGGCAGGTGTGAGGCTTCTTATGGCCATCGCGATAACCGCGGAGTGTCCATAAATCATCTGACCGTTGATAGGTTCCAAAATGACCACATCATACACATGTGGATAAGTTGAAGGAGAAACGTCACCACCAGCTCTCTTGTTTTTAGAAACAAACCTTAAGGGATCTGGCGATTTTGCACGGGATTGATGTCTCTCATTTGTGGGGATTCCCAAGTTGCACTCATACCGAACCATCTCAGATCCATTTCTCTTGCTCAGGAGTGTTGTGGAATCAATCCCTTCAGAAACTTTACAGGCCAAATGCTGCTGAAATGACCATGCAACAGGTGATTGTCTGTGATAAAATGTTCTTAGCAGAACAAAGAGCGGAAGTGTGACCACCATTCTTGGATAATGATAATATTCAATGCCCAACGGCCAAAGTAATTAGCCGATCTTGTTTCGAACTTTATGTCAGAACTGCCTAAACCCATGTGTTTATCATTTCCAAAAGAACGGTTGCAAGCTCCAAAAGAGCGTTGTGTTTATTTTTTCCTGATGCTGTGGAGCTTACACCCTGCTGAGTCTCAAGCTTGGCCTGCTATGAAATCCCTCACCTTTCTCGGCTCTAAAAGCGGCAAAGCCAAGGCTCTTTGCGTCAGGCACATGCCAAGCTCTCGCTGATCGTGGCTGGGGCATCCCACCTGTGTCATGTGGACGAGACCGTCACAGTCAAACAAAGCTCACCTGCATCTTCCCAATGACCTTTTGATCCTATTTGATCCTCACAGGCCTCTACAGGTCACTTAGGCCTGTACAGGTCACTGGATGGGACTCCAAACAGGTCACGAGGAAGATCCTGGCAGATGTTTATGGCTTCCATATGCTTCCATTCATATGCTTACCGTACCAGGCCTTCCAGTCCTCTCAGGCCGGTCAAGGTTCAACTCGATTCTGGCCCATTCACCCCCTCTTTCGGGGCCAGTGGGGTGAAGAGGCCTGGATCTGAATCTGGAAGTGAAACATGGTTTGAGTTGATATTTGGGTGATGTTTCAGTGTCCCACATCTGAAATGTTTAGATGGCCATAATAGGGTTCCCCAAGCGTGCATGTTCAAGATCTGTCTTTATCTGTAGTGCAAGATAGGATACAATTACCCTTGACTCAAAAAATGATTGGAAGTTCCTGGTATGTTGATTCATAGTTTCACTATGTTTTACTCTTTGAACCATTGCTTCATGAAGGGACAACTTCAGAATGGACGGTGCCAGAAAAACATCCACCCCCATTGCTTCATTTCTTCCCACTTCCGTGCACCAAGAACCTACTGTAGCTCTTGATTCATAAACCCTCCCATATGAATTCCAAGTGCTCCGCCTTCATCCTCAGTGCTGGAGTCCCCGGACTCCAGGCCACTCTTCACGCCCGGAGGCTGGTGTGGCACTCCCCGACGGGCCTCCCACGGCAGGGGTCGGCCGATGACAGGACTCGCACCGGCTGTCCGAAGCTCTTGTCTCACAAGGAACCTGAAGATCTTCAACTGAACAAGTGGTAAAATTCACCACAAGATCTAAAACCGAATAATTCGTAAATCTTTCATCCTTCTTAGATCTGGTGGTCTCCCAAAGGTGCCTCCACCCAAAAAGCTCTCTTCAGAAGTCCGCTCGCCCGAGCTCCACAAAGACCACTCTGTTTCTCACACCCTGGATGAACTAAGTTGTGCTTGTCGGGAAGAAAACACACATCGACATGGAGACACCTCAAAAGAGTCCTGCTCACAGGGGATAGGCAAATTATGACTATTTAATACCATCTAGCTACTTAAAGCCGCTTAGTAGGCTTAATGGCCTCAAGTAGTTAAACCCACATTTTCCCACACAAACACTGGTGTCTCAAGCACCAGTGTAGTTCGAGGGGAAAGTGCATCACACCTGGTGAACCTGTGGCCTGGAAGACCTGGCAAACCAATGGGTACGCCCAGTCCGTGCGCTCGACCGCATGGATACTCAATGCTCCCTGCAGTGCAACGGACTATCACGGACTCACCAAAAAGGCATCCGAAGAGTCGGACGCGAGAGTCACACTCTCGGAGGACCCCTCGAATTACAAGTTTGGTTCGAAGCCCCTAAGTCAAAAGGCCTTCATACTTGCCCGTGTCCATCGTTTTGCAGTGTGCCCATAAATGAACCAACATAAATCAACCAACATGAACAAACAACGCCTATCGTATTCAACACTTAACAAATCCGTCAATCAAGTACCAAACAGAATCTCACCAAGCAAATGCTCTTGTTGGATCTGTTTAAACCTTTGGTCCCGGTCTTTAACTTTAGTCCCCACACCCATCTTCACAAACTAAACATCCCCCAATTCTCCGCCCATATTCCGCTTCCTCCTTCCCCGTCGCCTGTGACTTCGGCTGCACCGACAAGCGTCGCCAAAAGGGTGGATGGCAGGGCTCTAGTGGCGGCCCCGCGCGCCCCACGGGCGCCGAGCGGGGTCGGCTCACCACCTGTTGGGCGGGAACGAACCAGTTGGGCGGATTGAACGTGGTTTATTGCACAAACAAAACATCCAGCTCTTCACAAGCAGTAGCACAATCAAGTATAAATTCAACATGGATTGCAACTTGCCCGAAAGAAGGTACATTGTACATGCGTCGAGGGTGAAGACAAATCGTGGGCAGTCGAGACTGACCTTGGTTGCGCCCGGCATTAGGATGTCCAAAAGGATTTTGCAGGATACAGCAATGATTCTACCACTTAGTTGATGAACCATGATGAGCACATATATATATATATATACATACATTTTTTACATACATTATGCTCCTCATGTATCGTAAGTAAAGCAAACACGCATCAACTACTGGACCGTCAAGAAATCTACCAGGCCTGGTAGCCATAGACGTGGGATACCACAGGCGGCACCATGACCACAGGAAACACTGCGCGGGGTTACACAGAAGCACGATACTCAAGGACTCAAGAAGATCAATGTTCATGGAACCTCTATCAAGTTTCTAGTTTTTTCTTTGTTCCACGTGGTCACTTTGAGCGTATTGTTTCCTATGTTGATACTAAGGGACCGTGAAGAAACCATTCAATCGATTTTTTCAGAAGGTTGTCAACAACATTTGCCTGGCCAGTGCTTCAGCTTGTGAAGATGTCCCCCAAGCCCTCCCCAAAACAGTCATTATACAACAACTCAAGACTACAATCTTGAACACACTAACATGGAAGTGGAACATGGCCCGTCCTCGTAATCCGTTAGGCTACTTTCCTTTACGGACAGGGGGTGTTCCACTTCCCTGTTAGTGAGTCGGAGTGTACATGCAAGCATTGACTGGTTTGTCTTCTAGTTGTGTGTTTGCAAGGAGCGATGGGCAAACACATTGTAAGTCTTGCTATCCCGCGCGCATCTGCATGTCATTCACTGTGCTATGCTGGAAAATAGATCTGAGCAAAGTTGATTGCTTATACCACTAATCCACATCCTTGCTGTTCCCTCACACAAACCAATGAGTGATCGGTTGTGGAAACTTGTATAATGAACAAATAATGAAATTCATGACGCACTTTGACATGTGTTGAACCACCTGAAAATCCGGTGGTTAGCAAGTAAACACTGACATGTGAACACACATTACTTCCATGGTTCAATAGTTTGGATGCCATACAAGTAGCTTCTTTGATATAATGGGCCTTTTCAGGATTCCTATCCAAGGCTCCACCGGTCCAGGTGCTCCACCGCTACACAGAAATTCTTCGGTCAAGATGGCGCCAAGATCCAGGTATCCACATGCTAGCTGCGCATCCCTGCACTCTTTCAGCACATATTAAACTCATAGGACTCCTGTTTAGAATAACATAGAAAAACACACTGGTCTACGTATCTGGTCTCATCAATCATGCAAATCTTGCAATTCTTATTTCAATTGATTCATGGTCACGGTCCGTGTTTGTTTTCCGCTTGCGTAGATGCTCTGTTCTTCGCACTTACGGACAATTAGAGCAACTCAGGAATAAAAAGGGAACACCACATGCACGGTCACTCTACTATCCGAGACCCGCCACACAGTCTGCAGGTATCTGCAGGTTTTTTGTTGCGCAAGCTGCGCTGCCTTTCTTTGCTGGACTCGCATGAAAACCACAGTCACGCAAGATCCGTCGTTTTGTTCAAAACGAGCGTTCAGTTGATGTGACAATTGATGCAAACCATCGAGGATGTTCACCACCAATGGACGTTGACGGTGAAAGGACAAATCACACAGTGGGGGGGCTCCAGAATGCACAGCGGCCACGTCGCTGATGAAATACTCCAGATGGGTGAAAAGAAACATGGAAGAAAAACAATATGTTAATGAATTTACTAGTATACTTGTTCTTTTTGGTTCTCCAGCCCCATATCTTGGAACCCATCTAGCCTGGAATATCTTGGAACCCATCTTCAACATCCCTTGAAAATCTGAGCGCCAGCCTAGACCAGCCTTTCCGATTTGAAACTCCCCGATGGAGTGGCGCACGCACAACACGGGTGGTCGCGCGTGACTGCCGAAAGTCCGCCACTGCGTGGCAGTGAATTCGGAGGTAGAGATCTGTGATGCATAGGTTGCCACAGCATGGAAAAAGCTCACTACGCGGTGTTCAGGGGAAGTGACTTGTTGAAAGCACCTTTTAACTAACGCCTGCTCTTGCTGTTCCAGGGTCCAGCAAGGGTCTTTCCCTATTCCCAAGGGTCAGTGTGACTCTATTGCCGGCCCTCAAGTCTCTATCCGTCTCGACCCCTTCACCCAGGATTGCGCGTTGTCTATCAAGTGTGTGGAACTCAACAATATTTATTTTTTGCTCCTCACCACTCCAAACAGGGCCCATGATTCGCAAAGGTGAATGGAGAGGCCAAAGAGACATGAGGTGACCCTCAAACCTAAAGCATGGAGGTTCATTTGCCAGACTCCACAGTTTGGTTTCTCACAAAGAATGGGTACATGGTCGTACATAATATACACAAACAATACAAAACAAATATCTGCTCTTGGAAACTCGTATCGAATGCCTCCTATTCCAAGCTAAATAGTCGTCAGGTTCGGCCAGATACTTCCTTGTGGGTTCCACCAGGTTGAGACATGGCAAAGTTCCTGGTTTCAACCCTTCGGAGGGCTGAACTTACTGTAGGTCAATCCATCTCACCGGCCGCACAAAATTGACTTCAAACACAGCTTCAACTAACCTCAATAAGTCTGTGATGATACAGCACCCCGAATATATCTCCAGCATGCTCCCCACACAATTTCATCTTCCACCTCACGGCCACTCGTACGGCCGATGTTCGTCAAATGCCCAGCCTCGCAAACCAATTAGTCCTCAGGACGCCTGGCCATGCGCTGCCAGCGTTGGGGATGTGGAGAAAATGGTGTGATCGTTCACAGTTGGAGACCCATTGAGATCCTTTATGCCAAGTATGTGTTCTGATTGATCTTGCTGGCTATATCTTGCTTACTTGCTTGGGAATTGTGTCAACTCAGTTAACTCAGTTGTTGAACTCGCACCTGACCTACCTTTTCTCACTTCGCTCAGATGCATCCAATGAGTGTGGATGGGCAAGGGGAGTCACCCGTTCTTCTCAAGCAAAGCTTTAACAAAAACACCCATACACTCCATGTATGGAATATATGCCTGCCTACCTAAACCCCTCATGCCAAACCACCCCAATGTAGGCATATATGGCATGCATGGAGCGTCTGGGACATGCACAAAAGTTGCCGTCCCAAGCAAGTGAGACGTGAACACCTAAGATGTTATGGAAGGTGGTCTGCTCTGACATCGACTTTTTGAACAGAGTCATCTCTTGAACCGTTATTCCACAATATTCCACGTTTGTCCAATTTGCTGTTAAGTTTAAAGGAGAAACGGACAAACCAAGGCACAAACTCCCCAAAGACTCTATAGGCTCTAGGATCAGTTGAAGTATCGCTACAGCCTGAATCCTCCACAGCCTGGCTTTCCTGTGTTTTCCACAACCTTTTCCAGGTCAGGTCGTGTCACCACCCTAATCCATGCAACTACTTTCTTGGTGACACAGTTCTCCTCGCCTGCATCAACCCCCGGCGACGCTCCTGACGGAGCCAAGGAGGTGGCTAGGCCAACAGTTGTGGGGAAATTGGTTGATGAAACGATGCAGGTTTCGTTTATCATGCCATTCTCACGGAGATTGCCACACAAATAGAGGTGGTTGGTGGACGTACTGTACTCTAATACTCCACCAACTCGCAGATCTTGGGAGTCCTTCATGTACCGTGAGCCGGAGCAAAGAGCGCTCAGAAATTGTTGCAGCAAGACTGCCTTCAGTCAGTTCACCAGGCTCTCCCGAGACAATCTCAACCTGGTCTAGGTGTGAAGATTGGCGGAGCTCACCGAGACCAACCTCTGAGGTCATCGGGTCTCTGGTGGCTTTTGACAATTGGCTGAGGCGTCTGCAGTGGCTGAGGTTGGCAGAGTCTCCTGCAGAATTGGGGGCAAACGCGCAAGATACGCGTGCAATTAGCGCTCGCGTTTTGGGACTTTTGCATATGTTTGCCATAGGAGTGCACCGACATCATCCAGCGCGCGGAGAGGTTCGTCGGCCCACCGAACCGGCGAGCCACCGGTTTTTGCCACGTCCTCTACGGCTTTGGACTGTGCCTGAATCTCCTTGCAAAGCTCCATCTTAGTGTTCTCTATGTCTTTTGAAAATTAGATTTTTACGCTTTGCCCCTGTTGGTCCATCTTCTGATGGTTTTGAAGATCTGTAGCCAGGAGACATGAACCGTGCAGAGCGTAAAGAGTGAATTGATCCAGCTGGAAACGTGCGAATGCACTCGCCAATCACACAGATATCATTCATGCTTCGCACGTCGCACGGAGTCGCGGCCGGAGTCTTTTGCGTTTCGACAAGTTCCATGTCCATGTCCGCCTCCTGGCTCCTGCAAAGTAAACAAACACCCGGACATGATCGAATAGAGCTTCATGAACCCGGCGCAATGACATGGCTTCGTGAAAGAGAACATGCTGTTCAAGCAACATCTGCTCTTCCTCATTTGCTCTTCAATATGCTTCTTCCAACGCACCCGGACGCAATAATAATTATATATATATAGGGGTGTGGCGAGAAACCCTGGTATGGATCGTTCCGTGCTGCAGCGAGAGTGATCCAAACCCTATGGATCAGAGCGCTGATCCAAGCCCTATGGATCAAACCGACAAGTCACTTGATCCAAGCCCCCGATATAAACACATCTGCATGGTGGCGCTCCAGCCCACCACTTTCTCACCAGTTCACTGTGAAGGTGGTGTCTCGGCCGCCGCTAAATTCATTGGGCTCCACTGTCCACATATTGGGCCATGGTTGGGTAGAGTGGGTGGCCATGGGCGCTGGTTCACTTTTGGGCTAACAAGAAGCCTTGCGATTAGTTTTCGGGGTCCACTAACCTCATTTCTCTAGCCCTTGTTTTGGCTCAAGAAGACGATACAAGAAGCACAAAAAGGCCATTAGCTAGCCACGCAGATTGGTGATTCAGTGGGCTCTCAAGTCATGTAATGGGTGGTGGCTTAGCGGCTCTCGAGATTGGAGGCTCACTCCAAAACCCGGTTAGCGGCCTCCACTGATTCTGTTTGGCCTTCAACTATCTTGTCTTCCGGCACCTTCCTTAGTGTGGTGTAGTTGGGTTGGATCCTCCACTCAGAGGCTTTCATAGCCTAATGGTCAAAGCATTGGTCTTCAATTCTCTACTTCCACGGTGTCAGGGTTCGAGTCTCGGCTGTGACCACACTTGATCCCACTAAAATCTTTTGCCAGAATGGGAGGTCAATTTGAAGTTGAATCTAGTGGCTTCCGCTAAATCTGTGGTGGCAGTGGTAATACTAGTGATGTTAGGGAGTAGCCGTAGCAGCGGCAATAGTAGTAGCAGTAGTGGTAGCAAGCGTAGTGGCAGTAGCAGTGGGAGTGGTGGCA